TAGCAGCCTGGTCCCGTTAGCAGCCTGGTCCCGTTAGCAGCCTGGTCACGTTAGCATCCTGGTCACGTTAGCAGCCTGGTCACGTTAGCAGCCTGGTCCCGTTAGCAGCCTGGTCTCGTTAGCAGCCTGGTTCCGTTAGCAACCTGGTCCCGTTAGCAGCCTGGTCTCGTTAGCAGCCTGATGATAATTACGACTGTGGCAACTGACGTCGACTGCCCTCCAGAAACAGGTCCGACAGACACGGAACATGCAACGTTCCCAACGGAACTGAACTGTTCCGTAGCGTTGGTTTGTGCAGGCAGATGGAGGATCATGGAGACGGCCACCGTGACAGGCCAGAGCCTGAGCGGAAGGTGGGAAAGGGGCCTGAGAGTGGAGTTCTGGTGGAACGAACGGTGCAGATGGATCGCATCGGTTTCAGTGAATTCCCAGCGTCTGCTTTGAACCTTAAATGAATTGCCAACTATTTGGGAAAACAGAGCAACTGAGATAAACATTTGCATCATAAAAAAACACAACTGAAAAATTACTGTTGGCCATTTAGTTTTTATAAATTTATAAACATTGCCATGTTTACACTGCTGCATTCTGGGTAAATGACAGACGGTTGCTCCGTTGCGAGTTCTGCCCGGACTAAATGTTAATTTTGAGCAACGTCTGACGTTCAGCCCTTTTAGTTTGAACTGGAGCGTGTTGACGGACACGAGGACGCAGGAATGGTTCAGCCTGTGGACAGCAGAGCTGATGGAGAGAGTTTCTGCTAAACTGTTCACAAGCATCGGGATTTTCTCCAAACATTTTCTCAGCACTACTATAGTAAACATCACAAGTTTATAACGTTTGATCATTTTGATCCATATATTGTGCATAAGGACTAATACGAAACATAACTTTGTCATAAATTACCACTCTTTAGCTTCGACTCGTGTGTTTTAGTCTCAGCTGCAACCTAAGTATGTCTTCCAGATTACACCGCTCTGGTAAATAACGGTGACGTCCTTAAGTGAAAAATGTAATACAACTTTTTACATAACGAGTTTTCATGTCACAAACAAAGACTTGAATATGAATAGGGAAATAACAATATATAAAGTACAATGAGTAGTCGGCGATCCGTATAAATAAACACAAAAATGTTTCCTAACTGAAGTCATTTTTACAGATTTTGAACTAAAACTTAATGCTTTAGTAGGCGGGTCATTCCTACATCATACTCTGAGAGCTAACCTGTTGTATGACACGTGCACGTGGTTTTTAAAGTTTAACCATAACTGCTTTAATGCTGCCATTGGTCACCAGAAGATGAATTTATTTTAAAACTGACATGAAAGTTGGAGAACTTTAATTTAAAGTCTTTAATTTCATTCTGCCTTTGAGTTTTGTCAACACTTTAAGGGTTTTTATTGTTTCCCTCCAAGCAAAAAGTGGATTAATGTTTCAGAGAAGTCTGTCACACAATAAGAGAAGTACTGTTGACATCATACAAATAGTTGTATTTATTAACAACCATTGATTATCAATAAACAGATGTTTTCTTACCATGTAAATACAAACGATAAACTGCAGTACAGGCAAATAAAACCTTTTTAAAAACTTAAGGAAAATCTCAGCTCCATTTTAAGTTAGTTTGTGGTAACTGGCATTTTTTAAAGGCTGATTATTGAAGAAAACTCTGCCACACCTCCGACTCAACAGAGAAAACTCTGAAATGTTGTCGATCAAGCTGCTGCGTCAGAATCTCCTACAACCACTCTTCAACTTCCTAACTGAACTTTTGAACTCATTCCTGTATGTGTGTACATCCGATTACGAAACAAGACGATTTAATTTTATGAATAAATGCATCACTTTAGGAATTTCTTGTTTCAGATTTAGGAGATTGTGTTTTTTTTAGTTCGTCTTGATCACTTTTGTTTCTACAGACTGATCAGTGAGTTATTTAAAGCTTGTTTAATCTGAGCAGCTTGAACTGAGTGGTCCTGTCAGTATAAACCATTCATTCTCTGATAAATGATGGAGTTTTGAAGGACAACAAATTTGTGGAATTATTAAAGGAAACTTAAAATTATTTCAAATTTTTTGAGTCTGATGTGTTGAATCATTAATCTGTTTTCAAATCAGTTAACTGCAGAAATGAAGCTCAGTTTTGTTGTAGTGTCCAAAAGCTTCCTGTCACATGACTGTCTCGTTTCCTACTCTACCCCCATCTATTTATCTGTTGAGTACAACAGAAGGTGTCTCCGTCTGCTCCTGTTGACTAAACCCTGTCCCCTATACAGTATGTGGCATGAAGTTCATTGACAAACGGGATCCCGTCATGTGACGCTTGTATTAATTATTAAACAAAGCTTTAGGTGAGAATCTGCTCACACAGACTCATGCTCATGTTCATGCCGCTTTTCGACGTAATGTTTTTACGCAATTACTGCTTAGTGTTGCTGTTTTTCTTAGTTCATATCTTGGATGTTATTGTTTTTCTTTTACATTTTTATTGTTGGATGTAACTGGGACCCTGTGTACATAACCCTCAGCACTGGCTCTCCTCAGGGATGTGTGTTGAGCCCCCTCCTGTTTACTCTGCTCACGTATGATTGTGCAGCTACCCATCCAGGCTGTCGCATTGTAAAGTTTGCAGATGATACAGCGGTGGTGGGATGCATCACAAACAATGATGAGTCCAGCTACAAGCAGGAAGTGGAACACCTGAAGAGCTGGTGCTTCACATCAATGTGAAGAAGACAAAGGAGATGATTGTGGACTTCAGAAGGAACAAACACACCTACACCCCCCTGAACATAAGATGATCTGCAGTGGATGTGGTCTCCAGCTACAAGTACTTGGGTGTACACATGAATGGCAACCTCAGCTGGAGCAACAACACCACCAGCCTGATCAAGAAAGCTCATCAGAGACTCTACTTCCTCAGACGGCTGAGACGAGCTGGTCTGGGAAGCTCAACGTGTGGCATGGAGGCTGCACAGCTGCAGAAAGAAAAGCTTTGCAGAGAGTGGTGAAGGCTGCACAGAAGGCTGTTGGAGTCAGTTTCCCCACCATCGCAGACATCTACACCTCTAGATGCAGGAAGAGGGCCACCTGCATCATGAAGGACCCCACTCACCCAGCACACACACTTTTTGCCCCACTCCCCTCAGGAAGGAGGTTGTTGATCTGTTTCAATGTTGCTGCTGATCTGTTTCAATGTTGATGTGTTCATGCGTGCTCATCTGCTCACACAGACTCATGTTCGTGTTTGTGCTGATGTTTGACGTAATGTTTTACTATTACTATTGTAATATTACTTTTACATTTCTATTAGTGCTTAGTGTATATTTAGTTGATGTTTTTCTTAGTTCATATCTTAGATCTTATTACTGTTTTTCTTTTACATTTTATTGTTGGATGTAACTGGGACTCTGTGTACACCACATGTGGTACATGTGATGGAGCGACAATAAAGAATCTCTGACTCTGGCTCTGAGAAGTTCCCTCTGGAACTGAAAAACAGAATGCTCCGCATCCTATTCTGCTCTTGGAAACTCTAGGAACCACAAGTAATCCTGCAGTCTGAGATCAAAGTGCTCTGTTAATGCCTCTTCGTCTCTTTCTCTCTGTCAGTGCGAGGATGTCGACCAGGGAAGATCGTCCAGATGACGGAAGCGGAGGTGCGTGGCCTCTGCATCAAGTCTCGGGAAATCTTCCTCAGTCAGCCGATCCTCTTGGAGCTGGAGGCTCCACTCAAAATCTGCGGTCAGTTCCAGCGTCTCTGACGAGAACCTCCCTTTGGTTCTGGTGTTGCAGCTGCTCCCGTTCTTTTCTTGTGATAATAATAAAAAAATGTACGCTCAATTTCAGGTGACATCCATGGACAGTACACAGATCTGCTGAGACTCTTTGAGTACGGCGGCTTCCCTCCTGAGGCTAACTACCTGTTCCTGGGGGACTACGTGGACAGAGGGAAGCAGTCTTTGGAGACCATCTGCCTTCTGCTAGCCTACAAGATCAAATACCCCGAGAACTTCTTCCTGCTCCGAGGCAACCACGAGTGCGCCTCCATTAACCGCATCTATGGCTTCTATGACGAGTGTGAGTTCCCTGCTCTCAATGGGGCGGCTGTGGCTGAGTGGTTGGAGCAGTCGTCCTCCAATGCGAGAGTTGGGGGTTCGAATCCACCAGCAGTCACATGCCGAAGTGCCCTGGGCAAGACACTGAACCCCTCATAACCTCTGATGTGTGTCTCATCAGTGTATGAATGTGAGCTAAAAGCTCCGATTAGTCTCTTTAGAATGATTTGTTCAATTAGCTTTGTAGAGCTCTAGTAGAGTGCTGTATGAATGGGTAAATGAGGCACAGATTGTAGTGTAAAGAGCTTTGAGTATCTTGATAAGATAGAAAGGTGCTATATAAGTACAGTCCATTTACCATTCATACGGTGGCTGAAAGACGCATTCTTTCTTTTAATAGTTGTTTTTTGTTGAGGATAGAGATCCTTTCAAAAGAATGAAACAACCCTGAATCAGACCAACTATCGTATTTTTCAGCCTATAAGTTGCAGGTTTTTTTGCATAATTTGCATGACTTGCGACTTCTACACCGAAGCGACGCATTTATGATTTTTCCCACATTTATAAACCAATTTTTGGCTGATATGACCGTTTTCATACATTCTGACTGAAAATATTGAACACTATTATTTTTAGCCACTAGATGGCACTCAAATAGCGTGGCATGCTGTTGTGTCATGTAATGAGTAAAAGTGGCTATTAATGACACAATCGACTTGCCATAGACTGCCACCTACGTCCAGCTCTGGGATCATGCCTGGAGCAATCATCAAATCCGCTTCATTTCACTGCACCGCCCGGGCGAAATGCAGCTGACCATCGAATGCATTTATTAAATAAAAGTTCAACTGAGACACACCTTTACTTTAATGTCGAGCAAACAAGTAATTGTTTTAGGTGGTCATCTTGTTAAATTTCGAAATGCACAGAGTCCTCCTGTGCACGCACCTACCGCGTATCAGCTTTTGAAATGCAGCTCATTTGACCGTCATAGTGCATTTATTAAGTGTTAATCTTAATAAATTCTTGTTAAAGTCCTCCCGTGCACGCTCCCGCAGCCACCATTTGGCAGCCATTCGATTTTTGGCACAACACCGGCCCGCATTTCCAGGTCGTCAGCGATGACGCATAATAGATGCGACTCATAGGGTGAAGCGACATATTTATGGATGTTTCCACTTTACTAGACATACTTGGACTGATGAGACTTACAGGGCGGTGCGACGTGTATGGCAGAAAATATGGTACATACTCTAACATCCAGCCGGGCCCGTCTCACAGCCTGCTGATGACTCTTTGTGCTATCTTCCAGGTAAACGCAGATTCAACATCAAACTGTGGAAGACTTTCACCGACTGCTTCAACTGCCTGCCCATCGCTGCCATCGTCGACGAGAAGATCTTCTGCTGCCACGGAGGTACTTTCTACAGACGCCAGGGATTGTTGGGTTTCAGCAACATTTAAATGTGTCATGTTTCTGATCTTAGGACAATTAAAGCAACTCTTTAGTAATCTGATGTGAGACGTCCATTAAAGCGAGATTTTGAGTCTGGTGGTGTAACCTGCACATACTTGGCAACAGACTGACGGTTCTGGTTCTTGTGTCTCCTGCAGGTCTCTCTCCTGACCTGCAGTCTATGGAGCAGATCAGACGGATCATGAGACCCACAGACGTACCTGACACAGGTAACACACACCTCTGACCAGTTGTCACACATTAAGAACACACTTGAGCTGATCCAGCCACCGGATTCACATGACGACTAAAATGTTGCAGAACGACTCAACAGATGTGGCTTTTTTTAGAGGGTTTTCAGGAAGAACGTTGTTTAAAAAAAACGTGACGTCTGAGTGAAACACACACTTCTTGAACAACGTTTGTTAGACACCTGAGACCTGCGTAGAGATGTTTACCCATAATGCACAGCTCTGGTTGATGAGGACACCACTGTGTTGGGTGGTGGGTTTGTTTAGCAGCCACAGAACCTGATCAGTGAGTGGACCATGAACTCTGTAGACCAAGGGTCAGAAACAGTTGTGTGTCATTGTTTATTAAATAATGTGTGTGTGCACTGTTCACTTCCTGCTGTGCTCCTCCTTCCTCTGAGCTGAGGGAAGATCACACAAACCAACAGTGTTGCCAGATAGAGTCGAGGTTTTCCAGCCCAAAAATCTGTTAAAAACCACCACATCACACAAAAACCCGCCCAATCAATATGTTTACACACAAACACACACACACACAATACTGTAAAGATATATTAGTGTAGATATGTTCATCGATGTGATTAATCAAAATGAGTTAAATGTGATTGTTAGTGCTCTTTATTTTAAAAAAATCCATACGTCACATTTTAGGATCTGGTTGTTATAGCCACAGATTAAATGTTAAATATGAATATTTCAATATTTATCACCACAGTAATAGTGTTACACACGTTAGTAGTTGTAAACACTCAAAATAATACATATGTTGGTTTAGTGCTTACATATAATCTAAACATTTAAGGGGTAAACATTTTTAATAATCATGTTAAAAGTTACAAATGTTGTCTTTGGTGCCTGTTTGTTTTTCAAATATTTTAGCGTGTGTGAATGACGGGCGTTAACATAAAACACTGTAGATGGTGCTTTATGTAGTTCAGTCTATTTCCTTGTATTAGTTGATCAACAGTTCTGCCACATCCAATATGGCGGACGCTCCCAACGGGTCAGCCCACTCAACGAGGTGTGTACTAAAACTGTGTACTAAAACTGCCTCACCAGTTGTCTGTTGTGGACGCCCTGGCAGATGACGATAGCCAGTCAGTGATGGGGAAAGGTCAGGGGAGCTTTGACCCAATAATGATGAACGATTGTTTGAAATGTGTTTAACAGGTTAACAAAAGAACCACTGGTCTGAATCCAGATCCACCCAAGGCAAATATTACCTGAAAAATCAGACTGAAAACCGCCTAATCTGGCAACACTGCAAACTGAAGGTCCATCTGAGTTTTGTGTGGTTCTGCTGAACTATGTGAAGTTCGCCTCTTGGTGTTTGCCCCCTCCCCTCATTAAAGCTGCCTCTTCATGCCCATATAAGGCCATCAGTGTTCAGTCCTCAGCAGACGCTGTCTCAGACCCTCTTATGGTCTTTGGTTGTGACTGTGTGGATGAGAAGAATGTGGATCTGACTAAATGAGGCTGACTTCTGTAGCCTGGGGGGGTTTAGCTTCTGATGTGAGGTCATCGCTGCACGGTGACACCCGTGATGAGTGAATGATGTTCTGTGCACTGATGCAGCCTGATCGTGTTCTCACCCCTGCAGGTCTCCTGTGTGACCTGCTGTGGTCCGACCCAGACAAAGACGTGCAGGGCTGGGGAGAGAACGACCGCGGCGTCTCCTTCACCTTCGGAGCAGACGTGGTCAGCAAGTTCCTCAACCGCCACGATCTGGACCTCATCTGTAGGGCCCACCAGGTACCACGCTCGTCCTCTCAGTGTCAATAAACAGGCCGAGCATTCTTTGAAGGAAGGCGTGGCACCCGCCACCTTTCATGTCAGCACTTTAGACTAAAACATCTTAAAGAGAAATGGCAGCTGGAGCCATTTTGATCAAACTTCAACAGTAATGTGGGATCTCTGTCAGCCTCTACACCAAAATTTAGCTCAACATCTAAATAGACGGAGTCATAAAGTCCTGATGCTGCTCAATAATCCATGTAGATCAGTCTAACCAGGTTGAGTCGGGTCCTCTGGACGGGTTCTTCTCTGATGAAATGTTTCAAGACTTCAGCACTGGTTCATCCCAAAGATCCAGTCCCCTGACACAGAGTAATATTGTGTATGCTGTTCAGTGTCAGGAGGGTGATCAGTCTTGCATCAGGGAAACTAAACAGCCACTGGCCAAAAGGATGGACCAGCACAGAAGATCAACATCATCAGGCCAGGACTCTGCGGTCTACACTCATCTCCAGGCCAGCGGTCACTCTTTCAAGGATGAAGATGTTCACATCCTGGACAGAGAGGAACGATGGTTTGAGAGAGGAGTAAAGGAGGCCATCTTTGTGAAAAGAAACCGTCCATCATTAAATGGGTGGAGGCTTCCGGGTTCAACTGTCCCCCTCTTACAATGCTGTGATTGGCCCAACATGCTCCATCTGAAGCCCAGCAGTCGACTCACGGTTACGAGGTTGTTAGACATTGGGTTGCGCCGACACCTTTCATAGTCCACGAGGCACAGAGCTCCTGTGAAACCCCACCTGCTGCAGTGTATGTCACCACCACCAGAGTCTCCACTCCGTCCGTGCATCCGCCGTTTGGCCACAAATCCATCATGAAGAGAGCGCCACACTTTTCAACAGACAGACTCCTCCATACACGATGTCTGCATGACCTCCGTCCAGGAGATTTGGGACATTTGACTAATTTAGTGTGTTTGAAGAGTCTGACAGCTGAATGTACATTTACACATTGATGAGCACGTCCACAAACTACTGACCAATCACACAAAACTTGACACATACACCTGTGAGAAAAAGTTCAGGCCGTACCTTGTGTTGAGAAGAGGTGGGTGAAGCTGCTCCGAGAACAATATGATGCAATGTTTGTCACGCAGCTATGACAGAGAGACAATTTTTGTGCTTGGGATAAAGAGTACGCAGGACCTTTACTGCAACTATCACTCAGCCCTCTGTGAATAGCAAGCAGCCATCAAAACACTAACGATCAGTCGTTAGGCTGATGGTCCTCCTATCATGTGAACAGCTAGTTCTGGTTGTCAGCAGCAAACTGGTTGATCCACTATGAGAAGGTGCTATTTATAAGACTGAGTTTGTTGCAGCTCCTCAGCCTGAAGAAGTCTTCTGAATAAAAGATGAAACATTTCAACAAGAAGAATCTGTCCAGAAGACCTGACTAAACCTTGTTAGACAGATATTTAGTCAGTTACTGAATCAGTTGTTGAATCAGTAACTGAGTCAGTGACTGAGTTAACCAGTTTTCTGTTGGTTAACGTCAGTCCGCTTTGAAGATCAACTCCCAGCATGCAGCTCTACATCCACTGGTTATTTTAATGAAATCCAACCCAGTGGTTCATGACATATTTTGCTAACAGACACACAAACACTCGCAAGCCCACAGGCAATCTGCTTGTTTTAATTTATTTTTATTGATGGTGGGTGGTAAGAATGAAGTCTCCGGTAATTAAAGGCTGATGTCTGTGGCGCCCCCAGGTGGTAGAAGACGGTTACGAGTTCTTCGCCAAGCGGCAGCTGGTGACGCTCTTCTCTGCTCCCAACTACTGCGGAGAGTTTGACAACGCCGGCGGCATGATGAGTGTGGACGAAACCCTCATGTGCTCCTTCCAGGTACGTTGACTCAACCCTCACTGATCCAGGACCTGACTCTTGGACCTTCTGCCTGAATCCTTCAAATCCTTTGTTTAGATCCTGAAGCCGTCTGAGAAGAAGGCCAAGTACCAGTACGGAGGCATGAACGCCGGCCGACCCGTCACTCCGCCCCGCACAGCCCAACCCCCAAAGAAACGATGAAGACGGACGCAAAGAGACCGCGATGAAAGGATTGACTTCTTTTTGGCTTTTCACCACATCTGTAAAGACAACAGCTGGCAGACGAGGAAACATGAAGCTTTTTAAAAGAGAGAGACGTCCAAATCAGTCTTTTTCATTTAATCTCTGAACTGCTGTTGTTTTTCTTCTTCTCCCCCCACTCCCTCTGCATCCGTGTAACATTTTTAAAAGCAAGTGTTTGAATGAGAAACCAGTGAGTCATTCTGTATAGCCTTCTTTTTTTTTCTTCTCGACAGCAGAATGACGTTTAGTTGACCACGTCCTGCTCCCCCTGCCTCTACACACATTAATGACCACTGCTGGGTTTTCAATAAATAATACAGGGAATAAACTGCCGTGCTCTGTCTGCTTCTTCCACTCTACAACTCCCCGTCCACACCACTCTGGATAACTTTAAAAACAGTGTTTCTGATCCACTCCTGCAGGTTTTGGAGGGTTCTGTAGAATGAAAGCATCAACACAGCTGTCCCCGTGAAACTACTCTGGCCTTAAAGTATCGGATCAGCTGGTTCTGTTCACTCTGTAGACCAGTGTTGGACCACTAACATCCAGCCTAATGTAGGTCCGTCACGTGACTCGAGCCTCCATGTGGGTTTTGTTTACATCCAGTGGTTTCAGGCTACAAGTACACTAAATCACTTGTTAAAGTTCAGGATAACATTTCCCATGCTTGGGTTTATAGTGTGCAATGGTTACATTCAATGAAAGTTTTAGACAAACCATTAACCCCACTGTGAAATGGTAAATGGATTGTACTTGCATAGCACCTGTCTTATCAAGATCAAAGCTCTTTACACAATCTGTGCCTCTTTTACCTCCACACACACGTTCATACAGCACGCTACTAGATCTCCATTCATCCATCACCTTCACCCGCTTCTTCCTTTTCAGGTCACAGGTGTCCGTGTCCAGCAGTCACTGAGAGGCGAGGAACACCCTGGACATGTCTCCAGTCCATCACAGGGACACTGAGACAACCATTCACTCTCTCTCTCACCTAGGGACAATTTAGAGTTACCAATCAGTCCAACATGCATGTTTTTGATCTGTGGGAGGAAACTGGAGTACCTGGAGAAAACCCACGCATGCACGGAGAGAACATGCAAACTCCACCCAGAAAGGTCCCAGGCCAGGATTTGAACCAGCGACCTCCTCGCTGAGAGGCAACGGTTCTACCAACTAAGACACACGAGGGAAAATATGTGAAAAACATGCAACAAGTTGGATAAACGTGCACACTTCAACCATGTGTGGAAAGGTGGATGTTTCAATGATTCACACGGTCTGATTTTTAACATCGCTACAACTGTGAACAGGTTTTACGAATTCTTTACATTTAATTTCATATCACTATATGAGGGAGTGGTGGTGCAGAGGCTAGAGAAGGTGGGCCTGTGATCAGAAGATTGCTGATACTGACATCAAGATGTGGGTGGGAAAGGTGACACACCCACACCTGCCTCCACCCTCATTTGCCCCACTCTGGGCCCATGAGCAAGGCTTTTAACCCCTGCCATCTGCTCCCCCAGGCACCATAGATGGCAGCTCTCTGCTCCACACAGAGGGCTGTGGTAGCTCAGTGGTCTGTCAGGAAGGACATCCGGCGTAAAAACAAGTCTTCATGCGACTGTTCGCTGTGGCGACCCCTGAACTAAGAAGCTGAAAGAAAAAAAAACTGAGCGCAAGAAACCAAAACATGGGAGCTGTTTGTACGGTCTTGTTTTGTTATTATCTAATCAAACGTTTGTGTGTTGAAATGGTTAATAACAGATTAAGTGCCACGGATAAAAAGCTGCAGACCTGAGAACATTTCGTGTCCTAATGTTAACGTGGTCTGTACCGCCACCTAGCGGTGGAGCGTGGTATTACATGTAGAAAGAAGGTATTCAGAATTCAAGATTTATTTTTTGCACCATGGTCCTAATCCTCTTCCATAACAAAAAAGTTTGAGAATATTTAGAGTAGATGGGGCCGTGCATGTCAGAAATTTGGCGTGTGAACTGTCGCGTTTATAAATCGGATCAGAACAGTTGAACTGGTTGAACGCAGGTTTAATTATTCAAGCTGATTTTATTTTACAATCTCCATTAAATCTGATTAATTTAGATCAATAATCCACATAAATCATTTTCTGTAGGATCCAACAGGATCATTGCTGTTGGAGAACAACGGCAGCAGTAAACCTGCTTTAAAACGAAAAACTCAAAGTTCTGCCTTGTAAATAATCAAAATAATGAAAGAAGTGAGTTTTCGAAGAACTTCCATCAGACTGAGCTGCTTTAAATCCATTTATTATCACTCCAAACAGAAACATTCGGCTCCGAGTTCCCTTTCACGGAGCAGAAAGTTCAGAACAGATGTTGATTTCTAAAATAAATAAAAACCTGTACACACCACAGCAATGATGCTCGGTGTGGTCACATCTCGCTACGTCTGACAAACTGAACACAAGCACAGTCCTGGTACCATGAGGTGGCAGGTAACTGGTCAAACCTGGACCATCAGTGAGTTGGAATGAAGCTGAACTAACAGAAGCAGAGTTATTTTAAAGCATTCACCTTTTCAAATTTACACATTCAGAGCTCCCAACAGTCCTGAAGCTTGTGACGATAAGAGCACGTAAAACTTTTTGTGTGCGTTTTACAAACGGATGTTCTAAAATTAAAATGAAACCTGATCCCAGTTTGAGCAGCTGGTCAGTGTTTTAACATGAAGCACTTACTGAAATGAGTTTAAACAGAATCTACAGTTGCAAACTTTTTGTTCAAACCTTATACATTTATTCCAAATACAAAAACTAAAAAAAAAAAAACAAGAGCATAAGTTTTTTTTTTTTTCCTCTCTCCAGACCATTTTAGTTATTTATGAAACGAGGATAAAACTTCAACCACACTATTTTTGTTGTATATTTACAGTAAATATTTGTACTTTGTAGTAAAAATGCAGTCCTGGGTCCCTGAATGAGAGAAGTAGATGAACTTCAATTTTTACTTGGACCAGAATCAGACAAACAACACGATGTAACGAAGTGAACAGTCGTCCAGGGTTGCCATGACGACTCTGACATCAATGGTAGAAATGCAAAAATCTGAAATACTGCAAGTACGTGTATTCGGTCCCACCTCTTGTGGTGTGTTCTGAGCACCAGGTGGCAGTGCTGATTTGTTTCTGCTTTGTGGGAGCACATCAGGTCCAAACTATAAATTATAGACTGAAAATATTTCAAGTACACGATCAGCATTATTATGTTTACTTTGCTTCTGCTTTTCTGTCATTTACGTCTCGGTGTGGTGGTTTGCTGAACATGAACCTTACTGTGCCTGCAGCGGGCCAGAAACACCAAGTTCACAACTAAACACACTTTTCTTTGCACCTCGTCTAACGTGTTCAATTCATAAGAAACTTTTAAATAATACAAGAAAACTTACAAAAACAGCAGATTCAATGGAATATTTCCAACCTTAAAAAAATAAACAATTTCATCCCCAATGTCGAGCTGAATATAAATATTTGTTTTCTGCAGAAAGCCTAAAAATAAGTTCCCTCGTCACGTTTCTGACTCAAAGCTGTGCTCCAAATCTAAACATCCTTAAAGCCTCAAGACAAACTTTTATAAAGTCCAATGTCACTCAGAACAACCGTTTCTCAGGTCAGCAGCAGGAAATCAATCACAGTAACAGCTTCCTGGGTTTTAAAGGGGAATTCTGTCATTTTAAACTGGGACTTGGATCCTCATCAATGCATGAACAGAAAGAAACAGGCTGATGGTGAAGCGGTGCTCAGACGAGACTTCGGAGGGGGAAGGACAGAGCGGCCCCGATGGACAGACCCAGGGACAAGAAGAAGGTCATCAGGGCTCCTGCTGTCTCTGCGTCTTTAGGATCCACCATCCTGAGAACAAACGAGAGGAGTTGGAAAGATGAACGACAAAAACAAGAACATTTTCTAAACACATACAATAAACATTTAGACAGACAGCAACTGGGGGAGCTTCAGCTTAGAAAACTAAACGTTGGTTTCTATTGTAAAGCAACTAGAGGAAAAATATTTAAAGTAATTAAGGGTCATTTACTCACTGTAACACATTTAGACATAAACCTTTCAAATATGAGGTCGATTACAGCTCGTTTACTTTGTGAGGTGAAAAACACTTTTGATTGTTGCTCTTTGGAGAGTTTCCCCCGTGTGGGACGATTAAAGTTATTATTATCTGCCCTTACAGACAAAATAAAAACTCTTCTCCAGAAAAGTTAGAAAGATTTGGTAAAAACTAGTTGATTCATTTTATCTTTCATTTAGCAGCTTTAGATACAAAGAAAACCAGTTCAGTTTTCTAAACCTGTGGTCGAACATTTGGACTAGGACATGTGGGATGTTTTGATTAGAGCCCAACAGATATATCGACAGGGCTGATATTTTAGGCCGATGCAGACGTTTGGGGACATATCAGAATCTGTGATAGTTGTCCCATTATGCACCGATATAAACACTTCTAATTTTCATCCCTAAAATGCTGGGAACGAGCTGTAATTTTTACAATGTATTCAGCCGAGGGTGCATGAAGACAACTTTCAAGTCATGGCCGTTCACTTAAGTTTCACTTTCAGTACAGACGAAGCAGGGAGCAATACTGTGTAGAGTATTCTGCTGAACAGAGCATGGTAAGTTTATTTTAACTGATCTGTAAAATAAAAAAAATCTCCAACCTGTTTGTCATTAGGTACGTGCCTCTCAAGTTAGCAAGCTAACATTTAGATAACCTAGCATAGGCCATTACCTGAGGGACTTTATCTATTCACTGAGTGCATTAAAGAGACAAATTGAAGAAATTATTTAATAAGCATGAAGGTTATGAGGGGTCCCTGAAACTTTTTCTCCCCTGTAAGGGGTCCCTGAACCCAAAAAGTTTGAGAACCCTCACTCTAGATTATTTACCTTGACGGGCATCCATCAGGGGTTGAGGGGTGCGTAGCGGAGGGTTATGGTACTCATGCTAGGTATAAACTACTGATTCTGTTGCTAAAATCTCCACTCCCCTTGGCCGTGGGTGGGGTGAGGATTTTGTAGGCAGGGTGGGGCGCCCTCCTTGGATCATGCTATGGGAAACACTGCAGTATGTAGGGTTCTAAAGAAACGGTTGGATGTGATCCAACAAAAACAAGTTCGACAGATTCACCTGCAGCCAACCGGATCCTGAACCTGACTGAGGATCAGAAACGGTGCAGGTGTCACCTCGTGTCTTACTCACTGTGGAGCGTAGGACATGGAGAGGCAGACGAAGTAACCGCTGGACACAGAGAACCATGCCATGATGATGGCGAACGCAGCGTCATGCCTGAAGAAGACGGGAAGGTAGTAGCGATCCTGGACGTTACAGAGCATGAGCAGAGGGATGAACACAACCCTGGAGACGACCAGGACCGGGAACAGAGGGGACTCTTTACGAGGCTGTGAGACAGGACAGGAACCACATGAGCTCAAGGCCAAAAAGACAAACAAAGTTTGATACAAGACACTGAACATTTACCTTCTAGCCAGTTATGTTGTGTCCTGGCTAATTCAAGACCAAGTGAACAGTCCTGAGTGTACTAATAATAACACTAATGAACAAGGGACTAATGACAACACACACAGATCTACCATGGCCCGTCTTTTAATAAATCCCCTGCTGCTAAAAGGCAGGAAATAATATCTTTGCCTTTGTATCTGTTAGCAAAATATTTCATAAACCACTATATGGATTTCAATGAAACTCTCAGAATGTAATCATTGAATGTACTTCTACCTTAACCAACAACAAGGACTATAACTTAGTTTATTTAACATATATTCAGGTCTCTCTTGTAAATGAGTCCCCGAGGCTCAATGGGACTAACCTGTATAAATAAGGGTTGAATGAATATTGATGTGGTAATAAATACAAGTTATTCACAACACAAATGTTTGACCCAAGTGACCAGAGACAGCACCGGGACTCCATCTTCTGCTGTGGTGACCACTAAAACAATGGACAAGACTAAAATCTAGATTTTCACACAAAACTAAGCAGTAAAGAGAACTATTTATCACAGAACCATGTAGGATGTTGATGTGGCTCAGTAAGTTTCGTTCGGCTGCTCTTCTTCAGGGGTCACCACAGTGAACTCACATGAAAGATTTGACAATTGTTTTACGTCAGACGCTTTTCCTGATGCAACCTGGTCTCTAACCCTCAACCTCAGGATTACAAGACCGTGGCACTGACCACCGAGCTACCACAGCCCAAAGTACTGTGAGATAAAATATTTAAAACAGTTTGTTGAACATCAATCCTCTTGGGAAAAAACTAGACAGTAACTAAAATATTAAACTTCAGTCTGAAGGAAACAGATAATTACATCAACAATAAGCAGGTAAAGGTTTGTTTACTCTGTTTCATATTTTACTACAGGATGGAAGGAGGGAGGAGGGGAGAGAGGGAAGGAAAGAAGGAAGAATGGGAGGGAAAAAGGAACGAAAGAGGGAGAGGAAGGAAGGAGGAAGAGGGAAAGGAAGGAGAGAGGGAGGGAGAAATGAAGAGAGGAAGGAAAGGAGGGGAGGGAGGGAGGGAAGGAAGAAGAGAGGGAGGGAGGGAGGGAGGAAAGAAGGAGGGGAGGAGGGAAGGAAGGGAAAGAGGGTGGGAGGAAGTAGGAGAGGGAAGGAAGGAAGGAGGGAAGGAGAGAGGGAAGGGAGGAAGGAGGAGAGGGAAGGAAAGAAGGAGGGAAGGGAGGAAGGAAGGAGGGAAGGGAGGAAGGAAGGAGGGAAAGAGGGAGGAAGAAAGGAAGGAGTGAAGGAAGGAGGGAGGGAGGGAGGAAGGGTGGATGTATGCATGTATGTATGGATGTACTGATGGATGGATGGATGTACTGATGGATGGATGTTTGACAGATGGATGTATGTATTGACGGATGGATGGATGGATGACAGATGGATGGATGTACTGATGGATGGATGTACTGATGGATGGATGACAGATGGATGGATGTACTGATGGATGGATGTACTGATGGATGGATGTACTGATGGATGGATGACAGATGGATGGATGTACTGATGGATGGATGGATGACAGATAGATGGATGTACTGATGGATGACAGATGGATGGATGTACTGATGGATGACAGATGGATGGATGTACTGATGGATGGATGTTTGACAGATGGATGGATGTACTGATGGATGGATGGATGGATGGATGACAGATGGATGCTCACCCAGCGTATCAGCGTGGTGATGGTTCGGCCCAGCCAGTCGTTGATGTTGAAGATCAAGAAGCAGCACACGGAGATGAAGAAGTGATCTGAGGATGAGGACGATAAATGTGGATGAGAACGTCCCAGTGAAACCAGTATCAGTGAGCTGAAGGTCAGTCCTACCCCATCTTCCTGGGAACGACGTCTTGACGTCTACGGTGATGGCGGGGAACACGGACAGCGTGACCGTGAACACAAACGTCACACAGAACGCCATTACCCAAATCTGAGGCAAACAAAAGACAACGCTGTTGAACCGTTCCATCGAGGTTCACTCAGACAGGAAACTCTGAGGAACAGCTGAGTGCACGGAAGGAAAGTAAGAGCGTCCACTTGTGCAACACTAAGCTTATTCCACAGAGCACCAATAGATCACTATGGAAACTGCAGAAAGAAACAGCTGGGTTGTTTCAGGACACAAAGTACACAAAGTACACAGAGCAGCTGTGTGGAGGACACAATGCTGTCCACGCTCAGCTGAGACCTTTAAACTGTCTCAGAAAATTAAATCATGTTCACTGTTTTCAACTACAACTAGATTTTTATTATATTAGGATATATAAGCAGTTTCTTTATTATTATTTATTTTACATTGGATGTTATACAGAAGCTGCAGCAGAGGTGTTCCAGCGGGCAGAAGAGGAAGCGATACTCTCAGCTTAAGAGGAGAGGATGCCGGGCGGGGGTTATGGTGAGGCTACGAGCTAATGCTAAAGCCGGTAAACTCCCCATGCCGTCTCTCTTTCTGTCGAATGTCCGCTCGTTGGACAACAAGATGGATTTACTTCGTCTGAGAGCGGGCGCCTCAGAAGAGATGAAGAAGTGTGCAGTGCTTTGCCTCACAGAAACGTGGATTACAAGCGAAACGCCGGACACAGTCTTCCAGCTGGATGACAGACTCTTTTTTCGAGCGGACCGCTGTAGCGAGCTAACGGGTAAATCACGGGGAGGCGGAGTGTGCATTTACTTGAGTAAAAGTTGGTGCACGAACTGTACTGTTGTAAATAGCTCATGCTCGAAGGCTTTGGAGCAAAAAACAGTGAAATGTCGGCCTCATTATCTACCCCGCGAGTTCACAGTGACTTTCATCACGGTCATTTACATTCCTCCGGACGCTAATGCTAATGAATCACTGCAGGAGCTACATGATATCATCAGCTCGCTGCAGAACAAACACCCCGAGGCTCTTTACGTGGTAGCTGGAGACTTTAATTTTAATCACGTGAATCTAAAGGACTGTCTCCCAAGCTTTTTTCAACATGTGGGCATACCAACACGTGGAGACAACACGCTGGACCGTGTTCAATGTTTTTATGTTATGAGTGCTTAGAGTATATTTAGTTGATGTTTTTCTTAGTTCATATCTTAGATCTTATTACTGTTTTTCTTTTACATTTTATTGTTGGATGTAACTGGGACCCTGTGTACATAATTTCGCTCCACCACATGTACCACATGAGGTGCGAATGACAATAAAGAAACTCTGACTCCGAAACTCATAACTGCACTGACTGAACAAATTACAGTCGTTTTGTTTTTACATGTTTGACCAATTAAGCTTGTGAAACTACTGGTGTGTTTAAGTGTGCTGTACTGGTGCAGTTTTCAATAAATTTGTAGTTCAGTACATTTATGTCCGCATTTAAAAAACAAATGTTTTAAGTTAATTCAGCACTGTTTTTCTGTATCAGTTCGGTATCGACTGATGCTAAACCTCAGATATCGGTATTGGAAGTGAAAAAAGTGGATCGTGCATCCCTACTACTTATGGGACTGAGTTTGTTGTGGCTCCTCGGGCTGATGAAGTCCTTTGGATGAAAGACGACACGTTTCAACACAAAGAAACCGTCCAGAGGACCCGACTTATGTTTGATGGACAGAACTCAAGAGCTTCACTTAACTCAAGGTTTAACAGTTTGTCTCCCTGATCTTAAGAAGCACATTTACCTTTTTAAAGACCTCCCAGACTGAAGCCTTGTCTTGTCCCTTCTCCACCTGCATGGTCCCCTCTTGGCTCAGGTTCATCTTATCAGCCTCCTCACTGAGCTTGACTCCATCAGTTCTCGCTGATCCGTTAGCATGACTGTTCAGCTTATTGTTTTCCACAACGCTGCCATCTGCAAACCAACATACCCTAAACTTTAACATCTACTCTCAGACAACACATAGGATTACTTGATTTGTGTGGTGGGGGTGACCTCAGGGCTTCTTAGGGTAATGGACAGGGTGCGTGCATTTGTCGTGCATGTGTCGTGCATGTGTGAATAACAGAGCCCATCTTTGTCTGGGTGTGTGATGGGATAAATGGTGAGTCAACAGATTTAATGGGATAATGTTCCACTGAATTGATTTGATTCGGACTGTGAGGCAAAGTACTGAGGAAAAAGCAAACAGGCTCCTGTCACATAAATGTTCCAAGGTTTTAACTCTTAGAGGGAAATGAAAGAGGTTCATTGAAATGCTCTTTAAACACTCACCTTTCAGGAGCTTATCTGTAGTTCCGTCTTCGTATTTGCTGCTTCGGTTCAGGTAAATCCGAGCAAATTCCTACGAGGAAACCGCAAGAAACAAGACACGTTGACACACGTTAACAAAGTGCTGCCCAGTTTAAAAACACTTACTGGTCCAAAACTTTCTGAATTAAATAAGAGTGGAACAGCATTAGCGACTGCCACCTATAGCTATAGTGAAGACTCCTGAGTAGAACGCTGCGCACCCCGGGGCGTGACAACAGTCTTTACAGCTCCAATGCTTCCACTGTTGTGGAAAACTTACTTTTATGCCATCTATCCCTCAAGAAACGCCTACATTCACACTGACAGCTCTGCAGCTGTCATTAGGCCTGTCACGATAACAAATTTTGCTGGGCGATTAATTGTCTCAGAAATTATTGCAATAAACAATAATAATGTTTGAAATTTGATAATTATTTAGTAATTATTGTCAAATTTAAGAAAAAATGTTGGTGAATTAATTTTGAGTGTAATACCATTTTTGACCACTGGATGGCAGTATAAGACCATTTGAACTGAAGGATGGACAGTGAGGGATTGAGCAGCGTGTCTCTTGAAGAAAAATGGGAGAGAGGCCCCATGACGTGACATGGGCTGTCTTTCCTTCATTTTTTTCCGGTTCTCATTTAGCATAGCATTTTTCACACAAAGCTTTTAATTAAAAAAAAAAAAAAAATCTGTAAACAAGTTCTCAGCTTCTTTTTACAGAGAAAAACAACTTTTTACATGAAGGCACGGGTTTCAACTGTGAATTTTGGAGCTTCGACAAGACAGAGGTTTTTTCCCCCCCGAGGTCGGCCTGTTAGCTTATCTCGTAGCTTAGCTTCTCAGCTTAGCTGCTTTTAACGATCCAAAAACATGATTTTGGACGATTAAAACAGATTTTAAAGAGAAAAGAGAAAGGGAGGAGTCAGTGAAGAACACCGGACTTGAGCCTTTTGTCATCCAGTGTTTTCAGTAGAGAGACATGAAGAAACTATAAAGCCAATAAATGAAAATGAGATTGATAATTTTCATTCATCATGCGATTAATTGATTTATTGTTTATCGTGACAGGCCTAGTTGTCCGTATAAATTTTTTAGCCTCTAGCTTGTCCACCAGCTTTACGCGAGGCTTTAACTCTGGTTTGGTCGGACTGCACAGATGACTCCACGTTCAAACCCTTGGATCCAACAGAATCAAACTTCATCGAGTTCACATCAGTCCCACCAAGCAACATGGGGTAAGAGGGTGAAGTAATGCGACGCAGTCTGAGTGACATCCACCTTCATCCAATCAACTCCTTGTAACTGACATGATGCCATTTGTCAATCGACCCAGTAGGCTCATCAGCATCTGACCAATCAACGACCACAATCTGTCCCTAAATGAAAAGCCTCTTACCTGCAGAAACTACACCTTGGAGTCAGCCTCCCCACCATCACAGACATCTACACCTCCAGATGCAGGAAGAGGGCTACCTGCATCATGAAGGACCTCACTCACCCAGCACACACACTTTTTGCCCTGCTCCCCTCAGGAAGGAGGTTAAGGAGCATTAAGTGTAGAACCACTAGACTGAGGAACAGCTTCTACCCTGAGGCTGTTAGACTCATGAATCTCTAACTAGAATAATCACTGTGAATACCCACATCATGTTGCTGCTGATCTGTTTCATGTTGCTGCTGATCTGTTTCAATGTTGATGTGTTCATGCGTGCTCATCTGCTCACACAGACTCATGTTCATGTTTGTGCTGATGTTCAATGTTTTATGTTATGAGTCAGAGTCAGAGTCAGAGTCAGAGTTTCTTTATTGTCATTCGCACCTCATGTGGTACATGTGGTGGAGCGAAATTATGTACACAGGGTCCCAGTTACATCCAACAATAAAATGTCTAAGAAAAACAGTAATAACATCTAAGATATGAACTAAGAAAAACATCAACTAAATATACACTAAGCACTCATTGATGTGAAGGTTATTCTTTCTGCACCAGCTCTCCAGGTGTTCCACCTCTTGCCTGTAGTTGGACTCATCATTGTTTGTGATGCATCCCGCTGTATCATCTGCAAACTTTACAATGTGACAGCCTGGATGGGTAGCTGCACAATCATATGTGAGCAGAGTAAACAGAAGGGGGCTCAACACACATCCCTGAGGAGAGCCAGTGCTGAGGGTTATGGTGGAGGAGGAGAGGTTGTGGATCCTCACTAACTGTGGTCTGTTTGTTAAAAAGTCTAGTACCCAGTTGCAGATGGAGGGGCTTAGTCCTAGTGTGGATAGTTTGTCCATCAGGGTTTGGGGGATCATGGTGTTGAAGGCGGATGTGAAGTCCACAAAGAGCATACGGACGTAAGAGTTTTTCTGCTCCAGGTGGTTGAGTGCAGTGTGGACCACAGAGGAGATTGCATCCTCTGTTGATCGGTTCTCACGGTATGCGTACTGGTGAGGGTCCTCGTTGATGTTGATGGTTGTTTTGATGTGAGTCATGACCAGTTTTTCAAAGCATTTAGCGACTATCGGGGTGAGGGCCACTGGCCGATAGTCATTCAGACCAGTCACTGTAGAGCTTTTTGGGACTGGGATGATGGTAGCAGTCTTCAGGCAGGTGGGAACTGTCTCCAGGGTAAGTGAGGTGTTAAACATGTCTGCCAGCACCTCACAGAGCTGATCAGCACATTCCTTCAACACTTTTCCGGGGATGTTGTCTGGGCCAGTTGCTTTGTGCGGATTAATCCTCCTGAAGGTACTCCTTACTTCTGCTGAGGTCACGCTGAGATGCTCTTCATCCGGTGGCGAGGTGAGTCTGGTGCTGGGTGGTCTGTTCGGGTCTTCAAAGCGTGCATAGAACTTGTTGAGGGCATCAGGCAGAGATGGGTCTTTGGGGCATTGTTCACTCCTTCCTTTATAATCTGTTATGCACTTAATGCCCCTCCACATGCTCCGAGGGTCTTGTGAGATGAATTGACCCTCGATCCTCTTTGCATATGTGGCCTTGGCCCTCTTAATACCAGCAACCAGCTCTTTTCTTGTCCTACTCAGCTCCTCCGAGTTTCCAGACCTGAAGGCAGTGTTCCTGGCTTCCAGCAGGGTGCGCACCTCTGCATTTAGCCAAGATTTTCTGTTTGGGTAGCTTTTAACATTTCTGATAGTGGAGACGGTGTCAGTACATGTACTAATGTAACCCAGTACTGAGGATGTGTATTGGTCAAGATCAAGCGAACCTCCATTTTCAGCAGCTTCTCTGAAAACCTGCCAGTCTGTTCGATCAAAACAATCTCTCAGTATGGGGCCACTGTCCTGGATCCAGCATTTAACTTTCTTTTGTACCGGTCTGGAGCGTCTCAGCGGGGGCATGTAAGCAGGAGCCAGGAAGATTGAGATGTGGTCTGACAGTCCTAGGTGGGGGCGGGGTTCGGCTTTGTATGCATATTTTACGTTCGTGTAAACACGGTCCAGCGTGCGGTCTCCACGTGTTGGAATCGTCACATGCTAATTAAAGCTTGGGAGACAGTCCTTTAGATTCATGTGGTTAAAGTCTCCGGCTACAACGTAAAGAGCCTCGGGGTGTTTGTTCTGCAGCGAGCTGATGATATCATGAAGCTCCTGCAGTGATTCATTAGCATTAGCGTCCGGAGGAATGTAAACAACTGTGATAAAAGTCACTGTGAACTCTCGGGGTAGATAATGTGGCCGACATTTCACTGTTATTTGCTCCAAAGCCTTCGAGCATGAGCTATTTACAACAGTACAGTTCGTGGACCAACTTTTACTCACGTAAATGCATACTCCGCCCCCCCCGTGATTCCCCCGTTAGCTCGCTGCAGCGGTCCGCTCGAAAAAAAAGTCTGTCATCCAGCTGGAAGACTGAGTCCGGCGTTTCACTTGTAATCCACGTTTCCGTGAGGCAAAGCACTGCAAACTTCTTCATCTCTTCTGAGGCGCCCGCTCTCAGACGAAGTAAATCCACCTTGTTGTCCAACGAGCGGACATTCGACAGAAAGAGAGACGGCATGGGGAGTTTACCGGCTTTAGCGTTAGCTCGTAGCCTCACCATAACCCCCGCCCGGCATCCTCTCTTATCTCTTATCTTATCTTATCTCCCTTATGAGTGCTTAGTGTATATTTAGTTTATGTTTTTCTTAGTTCATATCTTAGATGTTATTACTGTTTTTCTTATACATTTTATTGTTGGATGTAACTGGGACCCTGTGTACATAATTTCGCTCCACCACATGTACCACATGAGGTGCGAATGACAATAAAGAAACTCTGACTCTGATTGTCGGGGGTTTTCATTACAAACACTTTGAGGTCAGAGGGATTTTGTGAAATATTATCCAAAAAATGGTTAAACGTTGTCAGTGGAGAACATTTAATTCAGACTGAGTTACCCTGAATATTTAGAGGGTGTGGAAAATATTACATTTGAAAAACCTAAAAGAAATTTGGAAAAATGTACAAGATGATAAAGTTCTGCAGTCAACCTCATGATCAGCTGAATACAACAGTTGTAAACAGGAAGTTCCACATGCTTATCTGTATGAAGGTATCTGCAAGTAAATCCTCCATTTTCTGTCATAATTACATTGTATGATAAATGGTTAAATTAAAGGTTAATGCTTAAAGCTAGTTGTGTTTTGTTTGAGTGTTTTATATGTAGATATATGTTGTAACTTCTGGCTGCATTAGTTTAGTCATTGTTATGATCCTTTGACACTAAACTGAATTTGTACAAAGCGTTAAATAGGTTGTGTAATGTAAAATTTACACTCAGTATCGGTATCTGCTTATAAATTAATATTTGCAATAAGTAATTAGAAATATTTGAGATAGATTGTTTTAAGATGTCAACAATCAACATAGGTCTTGGACCTGTTTGGACTAGCCGTTAGCTCACTAATCATCAAAATTAAACTTTCAAAATTCATTCATAGATTCATACATACATATAGCGCACAATTTAACTGTTTACAGTTTTACTGTAACATGTTTACAGGAAGCTACAATAAGTTTACTCAGCCACATAAATAAAGGTTGAATGAAAATGGCTCAGTGCAGTAGCTACTCTGCTGACTCCCTTACATTGGCAGCACAGATCAACGTTAAAAGTAGATTAATGTTAGAAAACTGAGCCAGAATCATTCATGTTAGTGATACAATTATCTAAAATGGATTTTCTTTACAACTCCACTTCAAAAGATCTGAATTATTGTTTGAGCAAAGTGTAAGGTCCTGCAGCTGAGCTGAGGGTGAATGAACTGTGGTTCATGTGTTCAGAGCAGGGGCTGACTGACCAGACGAGGCAGCAGCAGGTAGCTGAAGAGTGTGATGAGGGTCCCCACACATGGTGTGATGAAGTAGCCCAACGCTGCAGACTTAAAGTCCACATCACCTGCACCACAAACACAGGTATAAGACAGGAAGAGTTCAACACAGTTAGAATGAGCTGTGTGTTTGGAAACAGAAACAACTGTACAGATTAGGCCTGTCACGATAACAAATTTTGCTGGGCCATTAATTGCTTCAGAAATTATTGTGATAAATGATAATATTGTTCAAAATTTGACCATAATTAGTAATTATGGTCAAATTTACAACGAAATGTTTGCTAAATTCAACAATTTTCAGTCAGGTCCAGATGACCTGACTGAAAATTGTTGGATTGTATACCTGGATTATTGAGCATGGACATTTTTGGTTTGTTTGTTAAATTGTTTTGCATGTAGTACCTTTTTTTGACCACCGGATGGCAGTATAAGACTATCTGAACCGAAGGATGGTTAGTGAGGGAGCGAGCAGTGTGTCTCTTATGAAAAATGGGGAGGCCCCTTAACGTGACATGGGCCGTCTCTCTTCAGTTCTCAAAATGGCGGACGCTCGGTGTGGTTTGAGCTCTTTAGCATAGCATTCTTCACACAAAGCTTTTAATTAAAAAAAAAAAAAAAAATCAGTAAACCAGTTCTCAGCTTCTTTTTGCAGAGAAAAGCAACTTTTTACGCGAAGGCACGGGTTTCAACCGTGAATTTTGGGGCTTCGAAAAGACACCCGCCCCCCCCCCCCCCAGGTCGGCCTGTTAGCTTAGCTCGTAGCTTAGCTTCTCGGCGTAGCTGCTTTTAATGATCCAAAAATGTGATTTTGGATCATTAAAACTGATTTTTAAGAGAAAAGAGAAAGGGAGGGGTCAGTGAAGAGCACCGGAGTTGAGCCTTTTGTCATCCAGTGTCTTCAGTAGAAAGAGAGACAAGAAGAAACGATAAAGCCAATAAATGAAAATGAGGTCGATAATTTTCATTTATCATGCGATTAATTGATTTATTGTTTATCGCGACAGGCCTAGTACAGATCACATCTTAACAAGCTCTAGGTACATTTACTTTGTGTCCTCTGTTACTAGGCAACTATGAGCTAATGTCTGACTGTGTTTTGTGTGCATGTGAGGCTCACTGGCTGTGGAGATCAGCATGGCGATGGCAGCGAATGTCCCAGCGAGCCCCTGGCCGCTCATGAAGATGGAGCTGTATTTTTGAGGCAGCAGACCCACCAGACCAAACGAACTGCCCTGCAGCACTGCGCCAAACGCTACAGGAGGAGGACTCAATTACGACTGAGGCTTCTTGGAGTTTAATTCCTCTCAGAGAACCAAACTGACTTACAGTTGATGAACCAGATAATAGCCATGGTAACAGAGAAGAAGGTGTCGGTGTTCATGGGTACTTTAACCAGCACAGCTGTGAGGATGAAGAGCAGCAGGATGAAGACGAGGCTGCCAGCGATACGCACAGCCTCTGAAATCCTAAAACACAAACAATCAACACTCAAACACCCTGACAGAAACAGCATTACAAAGCAGAGCCGAGTCTTTACTGTGACGCTAACTTCCAAGAACTGAACCATCTACTCTGAATCAGAAGGAGACCCTGGTATGTTCACTGACCTCTGGTAAAGGATGGAGTTAAGCAGGGTGAAGAGCAGCAGGGGCAGCTGTGACAGTAAGGTCATCCAGTTGTTGAAGTAATATTCTTTGTGGACTGGTCCTGTACCATTGCGGACTGGTCCTGTACCATTTCCTGTACTGTTGAACAAGTCTGTATGGGAACCATTCAGACGTTCTTGAAAGTACTACAAAAGCAAACAGAAGTTTTTCGACAGTTAAACACTTGCTGTCACAGTACATAATAAATTACACAATTTACCATTAGCTGCCATCAGATATTTTATTAATCAAAATTTTCTATGAATTATGATATTGAGTAATCATATGCAGTGTATACAGTACATACTCCATTTGTGTTTTCATTCATTACCGTAATTCATTTTTCCTCACACTTTGCACCCTGCGTTTTATATGCAGGAGCAGCTAATTTATGTATTTTATTTCATAATTTTCATATTTTAATTTTTCATGTTTTAGTTTGAAAAGACTTCCTGTTGTCTCTTGGCAGCTTCCTGCCGCTGACTAACATTTCCTTTGACAGAGCTGGGCTGTTCATGGAGCTGCCCTGCACCCACTACTCTTGGGGACTTTTGTGACATAGAGAGAACGCCCTCAGGTTGCACATGCACCAAACCTCTTGCTCAGGGTTTCACATTCCTACCATAACTCCACCCACTCTGTCATCATGTGACCAGAAGTCTAACCTGAATGACCAACGAGGTACTGGACCGTCCTCCAAGATAGACGTGAATTAATTTCTTCAGATCGTTCCTGTGTTTATCGTATTTTGCTCTTCATGCACAGACCTGTTCATTTGTTCAGCGATAATGGAAAAGCTGCACAGCCAGAGCAGACTGGGCACAAATCCTGATGAACAGTGGACGCCCACGGCTAAATAACCAGAGCATCTTATTTATGTACAAAATTATGATTTATCTTAAGTGCGGCTTAGAGACAGGTGCTTTCTAAAGCCCGAGAATTATGGTAAATTGTGGTGTGTTAGAGAAAAGTGCTAGTGTTAAACATCTTATGGCTGCATTCTCATTTAACAGCTAAAAAAAGCTGACTCTGTTGTTGGCCGGGTCCAGGACGTTAAGTGGCTGTAAGGCTCGTGTGATGTGAAGTACTTGGGATGTGAAAAATGTTCAACAGTCAACATGTGAACGCATGATGCAATCTGCGGGGTATCAAATCTGATGGTTTTGTGGGATTAAGGGACTTTAAATCCTGTTTATAATTAGTGTCATCGTTTGTTTTTCTTACCAGTGAAGCTGTCATGAAGAAATTCCATGGCAGCAACGTTCCCAGGCCCAAAATAAAGAAAATGATTCCCACCAAACAGCCCCTGTGGATGGAAAATACAAAAAGAGTCAAGGGAGACATAAAAACATGAAAAAAAAAGAGCCTAGTATTCCTTGAAGGATCCACCACTGTTTATGTTAGAGAATCGATGAGAGACAAAAGCTATATCTGTTTCGGTCTAACATTGTAGCTGATGATATGTGAAATATCATATCATCTAATATTACTTACTGAAAGCTTCATTAAAATCTGTCCAATGGGTAATCAGATGTTTGCAAGTACAGTAGTCCCTCGCTACTTCGTGGTTCAACTATCGCGGTTTTTCCCCAAGTAAGATTGGACATGACACACAACTGGCAGATTGATGGATGAGCCGTACGATCGGCATGGAATTTTTATTTAAAATAAATTTTAAATTATTTAGCACCTGCTAAATTATTGGGTGCAGCCTGTCATGATCTCCACTCTGTGCCACTTGCAGCTCTCTGCCACACCCACATTTTTCCTCTGTGCTGCAGCACAAACCACACCGAGCGTCCGCCATTTTGAGAACCGAAAAAAGGAAAGAGACAGCCCACGTCACGTCAAGGCCTCCCTCCCATTTTTCTTAAAGAGACACGCTGCTCGCTCCCTCACTATCCATCCTTCAGTTCAAACGGTCTTATGCTGCCATCCAGTGGTAAAAAAAGGTACTACACTTTTTAAAACCAATATTTCTACTTAAATTTGACAATAATTTCTAATTGCCAAATTTCAAACAATATTATCGTTTATCGCAATAATTTCTGAGACAATTAATCGCCCAGCAAAATCTGTTATCGTGACAGGCCTAGCAGAGAGCATGACATGCTGTGTTCTTTTAAAGCGTTTAGAAACATCGCTTAGAATACAGTACTGCAATTTGTATTTTTGTTGGATGTAACTAGGACCCTGTGTACATAGTTGCGGTCCACCTCATGTACTACATGTGATGTGAATGACAAAAATCCTTGTATCCTTGTAACAGTGTGGGCAGGGTTTATAAAGCCTATTATAAATACTAAAATTAACTACTCATTACTACTAGTACTATTTGTAGTACTATCCCTACTTTGCGGTTTTTCACTTATCACGGGAGGCGTAGCCATTAAACCCCGCAATAAACAAGGGACTACTGTGTACAGTGTCGACTCCAAAATTTTATTTAAAAATTGTCAAAACAGACATCACACTTTGACTTAGTGCTTGGAGTTTGCGTTGGGAGAAGACTGCACTACCATCGCCCCAAAGGTTGGCTCAGTATCTGTTTTTTCATTCAACCTTTATTTATACAGGTTAGTCTCAATGAGTCACGAGGACTCATTTTCAAGAGAGACCTGCAAACAACAGATAAGGTACCATTTGAAAATGTCTATTTCTAATGAAATATTTTGGTACCAGAATGTGAGAAACAAACACCCACACATACATACAGAGAGAAAAAACCCAGTAAGTCTTTTTGCCTTCAGCAGCAGACAAAACAGGAATATAACGGGAATACAATTCTGAAGAGATCAAATTATTTAAAATGGCTAAATACCAGCAGCAGTGACACAGACTGTGGTCGAGAACAAAACGTTGTGTTGGTTTTGTGGCAGAGAGCAAAAAGCGAGAAGTGAGAGCTCACGGTTTCACTCACCGGTCTTGGACGTCATCTGCTCGTCCCTTCATCTTGACTCTGTAGAAAACTGCAAGGGAAGGGAAAAACATCAACGGCTGTCTCTTACCAAGCTGTTACAGCATAACTCAAGGTTGTATTAGTAACAGGATGTTTAAAAAAATGTAGAATAAAATCCTCAGGTTTGTGTTGAAATAAAAAACTAAAAGCCGACTTTCACATAGTAAACAACATACAGAAGCAAACAACCAGAAGCTTGCAGTTTAATGTGTAGGACAAGAGGAATGGTAGGAGTCTGTGTGTTCTTTTAAATTACCTTACAGAGTAAAGACTGAATGATTTTTCTATTTTGGTCCAGACACTGGAGCCAGCAGCCTGAGGGTGGGAACAGGGGACTGAAAGTTTTTAAACCTAAACTCTGGGCGAAAAAAAAAACCGAAGCAGATCTGGTGTAGCTGCCTAAAGAACCGGACTCATCTAATCCACATTAGCAGTCCGAGTTCCTCTTATACAAATAACACTGTGGTTTTCGGAGGAAGTGACCACACCAATTGGGGGGAGGGGGGGGGGTCTGCCAGCTAATATCCAATTTTCCAATAAAAGCATGTGAGTGACAGAAACTTTAACACGCAGTTACATCATTCTCAGAACAGGTTGAACACACACAGACATGCAAGGCCACTTTTGTTCACACACCTATGAATAGCCTTCCTTTGTGACAGATTCCAGGATTTATGCAATGTGTAACTAAGAAAAACCTCTGATCGTTCTTCTCAACAACCGGCTTTTAAAGCCAGGAAATGAGCTTAGTAAAGTCAGATCTAACCCCACTGCATGATAAAGTCAGCAGAGCTGAACTAATTACAAAGAACCAGTTAATCATACATGGAGCGGGGGGACGTGGCACAAAAGATCATAAAATTATTAAAGACGTAAGCAGTTGAGACTCTGTTCCATTAGAAGTGGCCGCCCGCGGCTTTAAAACTCCTTCAATAAACATGTCCACCTGGACCTAATAAGAGGACAATCAGTGGACCAGGTCCTGCTAGAAGATTAAAGTTCCACTATTGTCCACATCGCAGGGCGGCTGTGGCTGAGTGGTTAGAGCAGTTGACCTCCAGTGGGAGAGTTGGGGGTTTGATTCCACCAACAGTCACATGCTGAAGTGTTCCTGGGCAAGACAGTGAACCCCTCCTAGCCTCTGATGTGTGTCCCCTCAGTGTATGAATGTGATAAAGCTCTGAATATTATTTGTACAGATCTAGTAAAGTGCTGTATGAATGGGTAAATCAGGGCACAGATTGTAAAGAGCTTTGAGTATCTTGATCAGATAGAAAGGAGCTATAAGTACAGACCATTTACCGAGGTGCTGCTTTTGTTTGCTTTGGGTCTTTGTCTAGGCGACACTGCTACTGGCGACACTAAATACATAATGCAAGAGATCATGACTATGTCTCAGATGTCCCCTAGATCAACAGGAAGGTCAAATGTAATCTACTTAATGTTTTATGTATTTTCTTAAAAAGCCCCACTAGACCTTATGCAAGTATTTTAGATCAACTGGTTCTTATGCTGTGTATTCAGGCTGCACAAATGCTGATTAATCCAAGTTTCGAGTAGAAAACAGTCACTGCTTTCAAGTCGCACATGATTAGAGAGATTACCAAAACACAGACACGCTTCATGTTTTCTGTAAGGATAAGACATATACTGTAAATAAGATTATCACATTCATATTAAAGTTTCACTTTGTTTATAAAAGAACATTTTAGAAGAACAACAAAGTCTGCAGCACTTTACCACAAATACATTTCAAGTTCAGTGTTTCCCATGTTACCCAGTCCACCCTCCCTACAGAACCACCACCATGAAGATCATGGCAGACAAAAAAACTAATCAACGTCCAGACGTGTTATCAACTCTGTGCGGCGGGGGAGAGGACAACAAATGGTTCTTTTTCCCATCATCCCCCTCTCCTCTCGCTCCATGCCTCGACGTCCCAGGACTTTTCTATCTAAAATTTAACTTTGTATTAATGTTGATAACGGCACAGGACATTAATGAGCGGACACTTCACTTTTATTTGTTAAACTAGAGTTTAACCAATTTTAGTAATATTTATTTATATATATAAATATATATAAATATATACATAAATGCATACACAGTAGTCCCTCATTATTGCGGGGGATCCGTACCCCGAAGCCCCGTGACAAGTGAAAAACCGTGAAGTAAGAACAGTAGTACAAGTAGTAGTTTATTTTTTATATTATATTATATAATATATATATATTATATATATATAATATATATTATATATACACACACAAATATATTATGAAAGCATTTTAAACCCTTCCCACACTATTGCAATATTCTAAACAATGTTTCTAAACTCTAAATGCTCTAAGAGCACAGAATGTCATGATTTCAGCTCCCTGCCTCCTCTGCTCTTTGCCACCTGCAAGTGCTCTTGGCCACGCCCACCTCTCTGCTCTGCATGGAGAGCAGCTGATCAGCTGCAGCAGGAAGTTTATCCTGCAGTATGGGCTGCACAAAGGTGCGGGAGGTGCTAAATACTTTAAAATAATTTATAAAAAAAAAAAATGTCATGCCGATCGTGCGGCTCATCCATCAATCAGCCAATTGTGTCTGGTCTGATTTTATTTTGAAAAAACGCGATAGAGCGAGTCTGCGATAAGCGAACCACGAAGTAATGAGGGACTACTGTATATAACAGTCTTGTCACATTTATTTTATTTTGTTTATTTTGATTTTTTTTCTTTTTCACTTGGAGAAATGCCTATAAGAATTCCTATGGACCTGTTCCTATCCTAACTTGTACAAACGGCAGTGTTTCCCCTACCATTTTTCAAGGAGGGAACCCCGCCCTGTCAACAGAAACAAGTGCCCCGCCTACAGAATCCCCACCCTTCAACCCAGCTCCGGACAGAGAGTGGAGTTTATATCAGCTCAGCTCAAACTCCAAATCACAACAGCCGCAGGCAATACAAATGTAGCGCTCCGCTAACAACCTTGGTTTGAGCGAGAGAGTGGATGGTTGTTTGTCTCATTTGTCTCTATGCATCCCTGTGACGGACTGGAGACCTGTCCAGACACCCCCCCCCCCCCCCCCCCACACACACACACACACACAGTGACTGCTGGATATGGGCACTGGTGACCCCAGCTACTTGGAAAGAAAGAAAAGGGTAAATAGGCAGCTGTGGCTGAGTAGTTAGAGCAGTCTTTCTCCAATGCAAGAGTTGGGGGTTTGATTCCACCAGCAGTCACATGCTGGAAGTGTCCCTGGGCAAGACACTGAACCCCTCATTGCCTCTGATGTGTGTCTCATCAGTGTATGAATGTGATAAAGCACTGATTAGTCTCTCTCTGTATAGATGTAGTAGAGTACTGTATGAATGGTTAAATGAGGACAGACTGTGTTGAAAAGAGCTTTGAGTATAGAAAGGCACTATACAAGTACAGTCCATTTACCATTTAAAGAGTGGGTGGGTGGAGGGATGGACAGATGGATGGATGGACGGATAGACTGCATTCTTGTTGCTTAAATTTGAAGCATGCTCAACAAATTTAAGCAACAATTCTTGTCTCAAAATAGACTCAAATCCATCTCAAGAGCCAATAATTTTAACAAAAATAAATATATAAATAAAAACCCTGGTCCAATTCTGCTCATCTTTAATTTAAAAGTGTACTCTATTAAATGAAGTCATAAATCTGGGAGCCAAGAGGATAAAAACAAACTTGAGGGAAGTGCAGTTTGAATGAAAATAGACAAAAAACACAATAAAATAACGTGAACAAACTAAAATACAGTTTGCAAGCCGTGCACACAATAATAGGCTGCTGAACAACAGGCTGTATGACTGCCCGGTCATTAGGTTGCAAACATCTAGAATTCACAGAATGCTACAAAAAAGTTTTCATTCATTCAACCTTTATTTAGACAGGTTAATCCCATTGAGCTTTGGGGACTCATTTATAAGAGAGACCTGATTTTAACAAAGAGTGATGACAACAGTGGACAACAGACAACAATTGACAATAATAAAAGGATGCGTACACATTGAGAATAAGTGAAAAAATAAAATGGTAATTTAAAAAAAGTAACAAAAACAGCTAGGTTGTAAGGCAGTGTAGAAAACTAAAAACAGGAACATGTCTGTATTATTTTTTGCAGGAACTTAACAGATGTTTAAAGACACTTAGAGAGGTCAAGGTTGAGAGAGTTTCAGATCTTTTTGCAAGATATTCCAGGAAATAGGAGCGGAGTAGGAGAAGGCCCTTCTGCCTAGTTCAGTCCTCATCGAGGGAACACTGCAGGTAATAATGTCCTGAGAGCGCACTCCGTAGCTGCACTCACTCAGAGACATGTAGGAGGAGATGTATGAAGGCAGCAGACCTTGAAGTGATTTAAAGATGAAAATGTACCAGTGAGAGAGTCTGCGTGGTTAATGATGTCCAGTTAACCAGTGAATACTGGGTGCAGTGGTGGGTACGATAATCACAGCCAGTTATGAATCTTAGTGCACCGTGATAGACAGCATCCAACATCTGCAGGGTGCTTGTAGGAGCGTTCATGTAAATAATATCACCATAATCAATGGAGGGAAGGAAAGTCACAGATACAAGGTGTTTTCTAGCATTCAGAGTTAGACAGGATCTGTTTCTGAAAAAGAAACCCAGTTTAATTTTCAGTTTCTTTACCAAGTTTTCCACATGGAGCTTAAAAGAGAGATGTGAATCGACCAAGATACTCAAATATTTATAGGAATCAACAAACTCAATGGGGACACCATTTGAGGATAAAATCGGAGGAAGAACTGCTGGGACCAACTTCCTATTTGAAAAAAGCATCCCTTTGGTTTTGTCGGCATTTAGGACAAGTTTGAGGTGGAACAAATCTGTCTGGATGATGTTAAAGGCAGATTTCCAAAGCTTGGAAAGCCTTATCAACTATTTTAGCTCGACAATAAACAACTGTGTCATCAGCATAGAAATATATGGCTGCATCAGGGATGCATCCATACATTTGAGAGTTTATCAGTTTTTCTAGAACTTTGGCTAAAATACAGAGTTTAGAGATTGGTCGATAGTTGTTCAGTGAGGTGGGGTCACCTCCTTTCAGCAAAGGAAGACCAAAGGCTGTTTTCCAAGCATCTGGAATGGAGTTTTGGTTTATGGAAAGATTAAAGATGTGGGTCACAGGGACTGTGAAGATATGAGCGTCCAGCCTTAATAAATAAGGTGGAAGTTCATCTGGACCTGCAGATTTTTTTGTGTCTAGACCTTTTAACAATTTGTTGACCTCACTGACTGAAAACGATGAAAGAGAAAAGGTGCAATTTACTGAAGATGAACACAGAGAAGACCAAGGAGATTGTTGTGGACTTCAGGAGAACTCAGACAAAACATGCTCCACTATCCATCAACGGTGTTGTTGTGGAAAGGGTGAGCAGCACCAAGTTCCTGGGTGTGCACATCTCTGAGGACCTCTCCTGGACCATCAACACAGCAGCAGTGGCCAAAAAGGCTCACCAACGGCTCTACTTCCTCCGCAAGCTGAGAAGAGCGAGAGCCCCCACCCCCATCATGACAACCTTCTACAGGGGGGCCATCGAGAGCATCCTGATGAGCTGCTCCACTGTGTGGTACGGGGCCTGCACAGCATCCTGCCGCAAATCCCTCCAGCGGATCGTGAGGACAGCTGAGAAGATCATTGGCACCTCTCTCCCCTGCCTTCAGGACCTCCACAGCTCTCGCCTCAGAAGTAAAGCCCTCTGCTGGGTGGGAGATCTTGACCACCCGCTACACTGCTTCTTCAACCTGCTGCCATTAGGGCGGAGACTGCGTAGCCTCAGTTCTAGGACCAGCAGACTGTGGAACAACTCCGTCCATCAGGCCGTGAGGATGCTGAACTCTCTGCCTGCCCCCCCTCAGCCCCCTCTCCAACTTCTGCCACCCTGCACACACTAACTCAGCTTCCTGACACCCCCCCTCACCCCCCCCCCCTTCAAAACTGTTCTGGGACATTTATTTATTTTTATGAATAGTTTATGAACTCGGTCACTTTAACAGCCTACAAGCTCACTCTACTGTTTATTGCATTATATTTTGCACTACTGTTATGATCAACTCGTCCTGTTTATTCTGGTAATTCTGGTATTGTCATTTCCACTTAATCACCTCATCAGTACATAACTGTGACTCTATATAGAACCGGTATGCACACCTTCACTTTACTAAGTTTCTCAGGTTTATACTTTATATTGCACTATTGTTTACTCTGGCCTTGCACATCCACTATCTACCTCTCATCATGTTATTGTCTTCAGTCAGCGTCCCTTTGTCTCCTGTTAGTCACTATTGAGCACGTTGCATCAGAGGTCCTGCTGCTGTTCACTTTTATATTTTTTTATAACTAGTTGTGTTAGTTTATTTTTGCTAATGTTGTTGTTTGCTGCAAGTTGAGTAGGAGTGTAACGCAATTTCAATTTCTATGTATGTCCTGTACATATGCAGAATTGACAATAAAATCAATCAATCAATCAATCAATCAAGATCGACTTGTAGGAGAAATTTGGTTTGTAGAAGTTTGACTTTTAGGGGAAGTGGCTGATTTTCTATTAGTAACTGTGTCAAATAAAGAACTAGAAGCAACAAAATGTTTGTTGAAACAGGATCTCGTGCTTATTAGACACAGGAACAGAGTTAACGAGAAGTTGTGATGGGAGATCAGGTGTTTGGGAGCTGCCAAAGAGAGATTTGATGGTTTTCCAGAATCTTTTAGGATCATTTAGATTTTTGGTGGTCTGAGATAAGAAATAGTTGCATTTTGCAGCTTTGATGGAAGTTGAGCATTTATTCCTCAGCTTTCGAAATTCAACAAGTCAGTGTCTGAAACAGATTTTCTTGCTACAGCCCAAAGACGGTCTCTCCTGTGAAGTTCAGCTAGATCAGAAGTAAACCAGGGGCTGTCTTGTCCTTTTATTCTGAACTGGCGAAAAGGAGCAAGTTTATTTACAAAATAGATTAAACTATTTTAAAAATGGTTCCAAGCGGTGTCACATCATTGGTTAATAGAATATGATAAGTTGCCCATTTTCTCTCAATTCTGAGTCTCCAACAGTCACAGCCCAGTGACAAACCACCTTTTCTACTGCCATGTTCCAGCAAACCAAACTTGTTTGTGGGAAACTCAACTCATTTCTGCTTTGTATAGCCCTTTTCACAAAAGGCTTCCACAACTGCTTCTGGATGATCATAAATCATTAATCCAGCTGGCTGCATACTGCTGATGATACCAGCTTTCATAAATGTGGTCATTTATTTATTTGCTAATTGTTAGGCTTCCTGATCTGGGACCTGAGTCCAAATTTCGTACCACAAACATGCAAATGTGAGCTGCTATGACAATAAAACATCCTTGAATCCTTGAACATGCAAACTCCACTCAGAAAGGTCTCAGGCCAGGATTTGAACCCGCAACCTTCTTGCTGAGAGGCAACAGCTCTACCAACTGAGCCACCGTGCTGCCATCTGAACTTAAATGGAAAAAGATAATCTTGTTGATTCATGCTTTTGCCATGTTTATTAAATGCTAACAAATGATAATAAACCGATTGTAAGTGTCCAATAACCCCTTTGCTGATTACACAATATTTCCAAAGGTCCTTTAAAATGAATAAAAACACTCACAGCAACAAGGCCCCACAACTTTAATTCTAATGATTTCATTTAAACCAGAAGCAATAAAATGTAAATCCAGAGAGAAAAGGGTAAATGTGTGTCTGCTTTAATAAGAAAAAGGTAATGGTCCACACCTGTGAGGTTGTTTATTTTAACATCTGGAAGATCCATACTCTTGTTTGCAGTCATTTAACTGGTAAAACAATAAATATTGGCGTACAGTCATATAATGAAGTCTTGTTATGAGGTGTCGGATTCAACATGAGCTGGGAACCAGTCACTGAGAGCAGCTTTGGTACAGAACACGTAACACACCTGTTGAGTCAGGTAAGAAACACAATGCTGAAAATTAAGGCAACAATGTCAAAATAAACCACATTAAAGTGCAGCCGAATGCAGAATAAACCTAAGCTGTATCAGCTGGTCCACAGTAAAATCAACAGAATCGCTTAAAAACCGAATAAACAGTATTTTTGCTTAAAACTGCGCAGAGTTTATAAGCTCTTCCGCGACCTGCTGCTAGCTAACGTCATGATGCCGTGACAGACTCACCTTGATAAAAAGCGTCACTGTGGCTCCGTGATGTTCCCGCCGTCCATATCGATTAGTTTTATTATCTAAACGGCGCGAGTCGACTCAGAAAGACACTATTTAAAGCTTTGTCCTCCATACACATGGCGGACATTACATTAAATCTTTATCAGCCTCCATTAAAACCTGCACGAGCACCGCTGATGATGATGATGCAGCCTCCCTCACTTGCACTTCCGGTGTTGTGTAGAAAAAAGTGCCCCCCGATTGTTTTTGTCCTGGCTCGAACACCCTCGCCTTTGTAGAAATTGAGTTAAAATCAGTCGTCTTTATCTAAAAACTTTTAACAAGGGTTAGGATTATTACTTTAGGACTTAGTGGCTATTACCGGTCTAAAAAGACACTTCCCTCTTTTGTGTTACGGAATGGGTGGTTTTCAGTCTGACAGGAACCTGTTTCCTAAGAGTAAAATGTTCTTCTAAGTACTAGAAAACGTGCCGTTACTTTTATGGGTTTATTTCTTTTCTGATCTTAAATAGCTGAGGAGGCAGAAAAGACACCATAAACTGAAGCCTCTATGAAAAAAAATAAACGTGTTTCAAAATGTTTACTTTATGTTAACACACCCCAATCTGACCTTAAACTCGTTGTAAACAGCCTCATGAAAATACTTTGTGTGCTTTGTTTCAGCAGGGGTGCCTTTTCTTACACAACACCGGTTTGAATCTTGGCGGCAGGAACAAAATGTTCTGCTCCCGCCTCACTAATAAAACTGTGGTATTATTTTACACTAATAAACCTGAACCACAAAATATACAGAGAGCAGCAGACTGTCTGGATAAACCTGCTGTATTACTATGCGTTGTAGCTCTACTAACACTGCAGGTGGAGAATGTCCAGCTTGTGAAAATCAATGAAATAAACTCATTTGTGTGACTTTTATCAACACCAGGGTTATTATCGTCATTCACATCACATGTGGTACATGAGGTGGAACGAAATTGTGTACTCAAGGTCCCAGTTAATAGCAAAAATATAAAGTATAAAAAAGAAACAGTAAAGTATCTAAGATATACCTTAAACAATAATAATGTAAAATAATACAAAGCAGAGTCGGCCCAAGGCATAAGCAAACTAAGCGTCTGCTTAGGGCCCCAGGGCCACTAGGGGCCCCCCTAAGTGGAAGCACAGGTTTTAAGAAGTTTGTGAAGTACTGAGGAAAAAGTAATATAAACAGGTCAAATGCGTCAATTTATTCAACTTTAAATTTATTTTTTAAACCATTTTATATGGTTTCATGTATTTTTTTATTTACATTATTAAGTATTTCCTTGATATTTTATTTTTAATTTAATTTTGTCTGTTTTCGCACAATTTAATTATTTTTTTATGCATCTAAGTTTTTTTTATCTGTTTGTTGTTGATCTTGCACTACAAAATTATTTTGAACATTACTGTTGCAGTTCTTTGGAACCAAAGATAATAAACCAGATGACACTTTTGCTGTAAAATACATTGTATACTGGTGTTTTTTTTTCTTTTACTTTTAGTACCACTAGATCGCATGTGTCAAACTCAAGGCCTGTGGGCCAAATCCAGCCCACCATAACCATTTCTGTGGCTCTCTACACCCTAGAGGTCCACAGAAACAGAACTTCAAGATAACTGTGCTTCAGTATTACTTTACCAGTCAAATCATAACATTTCTTTATGTTTATAATGCCAAATTACTTGAAGAAGTCGTCGAATGCAGAGAAAGTTATATTTTACCAGTTTGTGAAGAGGTAGTTTTATCAATACATTCTGCCATGTCTGGCCTTTTGAGGACATTCATGAACTTGATGTGTCCAAACTGAAAATGAGCTTGACACCTCTGTATATAGGATAATATAAACAGGGCTGTCAGAGTTGCAAGGAGTTTATTTGAGGTGGGGAATGATCTGATCGTCTGACTGTTGATTGCAGTAATCCACATTATTAGAAATAGAGGGCCCCAAACCAAATTTTGCTTAGGGCCCCATGGAGGCTTGGGCCGGCCATGATGTGGTGTATTAAACAGCAGCCTGAACATGAGTCTGTTGTGAGCAGATGGGTATGAATACAGCAGCTTAAAAGCAATTGATCAGCTTCATGGATGATCCGCAGCACCGATAAATTAAAGATATTTAAATGGTTCAGAAGTTTAAGTGTCAAATATTTAAATTTAAAATAAATTCACTGGAAATGACCTTCTAAAATAAATAAATTACCTGACTGTAACTTAAATGAATGTGTTCCAACCAAATGTTGGATTTAAGGGGCTGCATTAGTACCAATAAGCTGCTTAGTTCAACAAACATGTAACTCCAAGTCTGTGCAATGCTCAGCACTTTTTAGTAGTGGATTTGAATATAATCTTTTAAAAACTTCAGGAAATTTTATCAACTGATTTTGTGCTAAAGCAGTATTTCTCAACTATGCAACCCTGAAGTAGTCGCAGACCGTTTCCAGTGTAAAATATTTACAAAATATTTATGTAATAAATATTTAAAACAGAAATGCTAATTATTTCAGCCTTATGGTTTATGCCTAAATACCTCTGGGTGTTTTTTTTTTTTTTGGGGGG